GTTGTTATTATTATTATGATTAGCAGTATAATCATATTCCGGTAGCGTGGAAGAACTTTCATGGTTGGTAACCCAGTGGATGGTCCAGTATGGAAATCTTCTTTCCCCCCACCCCATTCTTTCATCTAAAGAGTGCACTATCCATTAAATATATGGGTTGGTCTAGCTGTCTTTGTCAATTAACGGGATTGTAATTTATAAGAATATTCACTGACATTCACAGTAGTGAGTTGGATTATTGTCCCACTGAACGGTGTCGATAAGATTCTCTACTATTATTAATTGAAGAGACCAAAGGGATCTAACAAAGTCTTGTTGCATAATCTCTGGAAACGTTTTTGCATATTATTGTTAACTTTATTCACCATAAACTATATTATATTATTATTGTTCCCTTGGGTTCCTAGTGGAACATAGGGCTTCAACTGCACGTCTCCACTTGCTTCTGTCTTCTGCTGTACTTTTCACTTGCATCCATGTTAGTCCATACTGTTTCAAATCCTCTTCACACGATCTCCTTCATGTCACCCTTGGACGTCCCACTCGCCGCTTCCCTTTCGGGTTCCACTCGAGCGATGGCCTGACGCGCGATGTCACCCAGCGGCCTCCTCAGTGACTGTCCAATCCATCTCCACTTTCTCCTGCATATTTGTTGGGTGATTGGTTCTTGTTTTGTTTGTTCCCATAGTTTCTCGTTGGTGATTCTTCCCGGCCATCTGATCTTCAGTATAGAGCAAAGACAGTTGTTGATAAAGGTCTGCAACCTGTTGAAAATATTCTTGGTGACCCGCCAAGTTTCTCATCCGTACGTATAGAAGAACTCACTTGACGTTTATTTTGAAAATCCGAATTTTGTTGTTGTTGATGCTGAGTGACGAAGATTTCCAGATTGGTTTCAGGTTGATGAATGTGTTTCTCCCCTTATCGATTCTCGATTTGACATCGTCGTCCGTTCCTCCTGTAGTTGAGACAATGCTCTCTAGATAAGTAACCTTTTTCAAATCCCTCTCGTTGATGGTGATTGGCGCTGGATGTTGCTGCTGCTGTTGTTGTTGTTGGTTATTTTCATAACCTCCGTCTTGTCTTCGTTCACCTGGACTCCTGTCTTTGCTGCTTCTTCGACCAGTTTGTCGGTTTTCGCTTGTAAGTCTTCGATTTTGTGTGACATCAAACATAAATCATCGACGCGCGAAATCCAGGTCTTCTAGGTTCTTCACGTCGGTGGTGCAGGATATCCCTGTCTTCTTGTTTCCCACTGTCTGACGACGCATAATCCAGTCCACCACAATTGGGAATATCATTGGTGATAATAATAAGTACCCTTGTCTGACTCCTGTGTTTACTCCAAACGCCTCGCTGAGTTTTCCGTTGTGGATCACTTGACATGTGCCGTTGTCGTACAGCTGTTGAATAAGGTTGATGAATATTTGGGGTACGCCTTAGTACTCGAGTAGTTTCAAAATTACTTCATGGTCAAGGCTGTCGAAGGCCTCCGCAAAGTCTATGAAGTTGAGGTAGGAATCTTGATTTAGATGATTGGAGGCAATCAGTTACAGAAGGACTTGCCTGGCTGACCTAGGTTTCGTGCTGGTTCGCAGGCACCAGTCAGTCATCAAGGCGTATCTGCAACCCTGATGAGATTCGAACCCATGTCACCCAGTGCTGTAGTCAGAGATGTTACTACTGAGCCATTGGGGCTCGCAACTGACCTCCTGTAGGACTGTGTTGGATACTTTGATTTGCAAACGTGTCTGCAGTAAACACGGGACTAGACACATTACACTAATTAGTGTCCAATCAAAAGTATCTAAAACAGTCCAACAGGATGTCAATCCTGAGGCCGAATAGCTCAAGGGTGACGTCTCTTACTGACTGCAGCATTGGGTGACACGGGTTCGAATCTCCTAAGAAGGGATATGAGCTCCTTCAATATCCCAGATACGCCTTGTTGACTGACTGATGAGAGCCAACTAGCACGAAACCTAGGCAAGTTAGGCATGGCTTCCTGTAGCCGATTGCCTCCAATCAGCTTCTTTCAACAATTCAAAGTGCACCGTGATGACGAGCCACCTAGCTTGATGGTGGCGACACTGCAAACCTGGCTGACAGAATTCAGTCTGCAGTAAACACAGGACTAGACACATCACACTAGTTACTGACTAGTGTCCAATCAAACTATGTATCTTTTGTGATAGCAGCTACATTTAAGTTTGTATTTTAGCATTTTTTCCGGTTAGAGAAATGAGAAATTTAATTCTGATCCGTTCACTAGTGTACTCAACTTGACAGAATATTTGTCTGGGAAATCTCCCCTAAACGATGTTTCAAATAACGTTGTAATTATCGTTCCTTTTTCTCCTAGACAGTACATTGTTGTTGTTTTAACATTTGCATGTCATATGTTGACTCGACCGTCATTATTTCTCTTTGTTGACGTTCAATCTTTAATTTTAGTGCTTTCCTTTGCGGTTTTGTGATACAGCGATACTGTGTTGGACAGAATTCTTAGAGGTACTTCTCAGTGAAAACGGTTATCCAGAAAAAAATTCATTGATAAGAATATGAATCAAAAATCAAGGCAGCTCAAGGTAGCAACAGTTCCTAAAAAGGCTTTATTCTTACAAATTCAGTCCCCTGGGGATAACATCAGTGAGATATTAGCACAATGCCGCCTTAGGAATGCGGTAAAGGGAAGAGCATTCCCTGCTGCTGAATTATGCTGTGTCTTCAAAACCACCCGTGTTTTGTGTTCGAGAGTAAAAGATAAACTGCCTTATTTCATCTCTCCTATGTGTATCCACCAATTTAACTGCTCCTTTGGAGTGAGCTAGTTACATGGGCCCTACAATTAGGCGTGTTTCTCGTCGGATTTCCGAAAATCACCCTTCGTAGCGCTATTCTATCTCATCTTGTGGATGCAGAACACAAGATTGTTGTCAACGAGGCAGCTTTCAAAGTCATTTACCACATACCAACAAATCTTAACTTCGCCTTAACAGTTCGACTACTAAATATTGCTGAGGCTGACTGTTCGGATCCACATTGAGAAGCCTAATTTATGTGTCCGAAAGAAGCTAGCTGGTTCAGATACTGTCCTTACCCACTTGGCCATCTAGGTTCAAATGATCCTCGATTTGTTGTTGTAGAGATTTCCTTAATTTTATTTGATATTCTATTCGCTATTATATCTTTATTATTATTATAATTCAAGCATCTTTAATGAACTGTAATTCCACTGATCTTACTTAACAAATCGATATTATTTAAAAAACACTAATATTGTTATTGACTACTATTCTAGAATATTCTATGTATATAAACATATATATAACTGTAGATCCAGAAGAGGAAGTTATCGAAAAGGATATTCTTTGCTCAATTATTTTGTTTTTTCCTAATTGAATTTTGTTTGACTAATTTTGTTCTACAGTACTTGTTCTGTTCTTAAAAAATAAGCTGGACTGCACAGCTTCCTAACGGTAGTGTTGAGGTAATTTTGAGTTATTTAACGTTATTAAATTTGAACAGGTTGTCACCTAGATTAGTGGGCATATAACCGTCTTTTTGGTGTCTACGGAGCATTTTTTGACTGTGCATAACTCAAGGAAGTTTCATTCAGCTATATAGTAGGTCGTAGAGATTGGTTTTCCTGACTTCGAACAGCAGCGAGTCGATTTTAGTCGTTACACTCAGTGTTATCGATGTTTCATGCCTTAATAAATATATGTGTAAAACTTGGGCACTGTGGTAGCAAGTAATTCTATATTAGTTTGTTTATTAGATGTATCACACAGTGAGTGAAACAGTATTATTTACTGGATGACGTTTCGAACAAAATTTATTGCTGTTCATAATCATTTCATCAATTATGATCACACAACTTCGAAACTTGAGTTTTATAGTTTTCTTTGTTCTCTCCTATTTGTCGTCGTAGGTCTGGTGGTAGAATTTTCCAGATATCTGGATGGACAGGTGTTGAATCATTCCTATTACACGTGTTTGCAGTTGATTCGATAAACGAAGTTTCTGTTATCAGTCTCTCCTCTACCGTGCTGTTACATTAGATTTTGAAACTGTCATCTTATCCCATCCCATCCTATTGTAAGGTTGTGTGTAATTGCATGTAGTGAGTGCTATAGCTGAACTGTTCTCTAGATTTCTCATCTTATTCGGGTCAACTAATCTAGATTTTGCTAAGGTTTTTATGCACGGCTAGTCTGACTGCACCTGTTCTACTAGTTTGACCTATGTATTTGACCTGACAATCATTCCAGCAGGGTATTAGATAAACTAAATTGTTTTGTTTTAAAAGCTCCACAGGATCCACCATTTAACCGATAAAGCTTGTTTCTAATTGAGTTTGTGGGTGGTTTGAATGCCGATCACATTTATTCCTGCCTCTTGTTAAGAATTCTGCAGAACTTTGTCATCCAGTAAATACTAATACTGTTTCACTGTGTGATACATCTCAAAAACAAACCAATATGGAATACCTTAATAAATTCGTGACAGTTCGTGTACACTGACAGTCAGTTAACCGAAGTGTTCAATATTTAAACATTTTGTTTTATTTCTTTGAAAGTCCATACCACTTTCAGAGATACAGTCGCCGAAAGCTCCAAAATAAATGAGCTAATTTATCTAATGGTCTGATTCTACGCGCATTCTTTTTGTTTTTATTCCTTCACGTTCCCAGTGGAACATAGAGCGCCTTCAAGCTAGAGGCTTGAAGTTTCTGTAGCAGTTATGATTATTTTTTACAGGATGGGGTTGCTAGCCTCATGCCCAACCTTTCCTCTTCATCAGCTTTAGCTCTGGCTTAGCGCCGAATATCTGAACATCCCGGTGAAAGTTACCTTGTCTCAATTAAAGCGGGCAGAAACCACAGTTTTTCAAAGAAAAATCGCAAAAAAACCCACAAAGAATCAGTACCTCTTGAACCTACCTCTTGATCTAAATTATCATCAAGAGAAACAGTAAAAAAAAAACAAAGTGCTTACATTTTTTAGGTAAATTCAAAATAATCTTTCTTTCTTTAGGAATTTTCCTCTCTTCATCCAAATTGTAATTTGTAGCGAATTTATTCATTGTAAAGGTACCATGTGATGATGATATTCGATTCTGTTTCAAGTATTTAGTAGCTGAGGAGGAGTCTTTTGTTACAGAGGATGAATTTGTATAATTTCTTTTGTCTGTAGCAGAATTTTGATCACTGCTCCCATTGATAACTCCACCACCACCCCCGCCACCTCCTCCACCAGCAGCAGAAAGATCTTCATCATCACCACCACCACCACAGGAGTTGCTGTTTGAATTCATCTCAGAATTTGTTACCATATCTTTCCAATTCATTTCATCTTTTGTGTGAGCTTGAACAATTTCTTGTAAGAAATGGATATAGCCTATTGCCAGTCTAAGTGTATCAACTTTAGATAGACGTTTCTCGTACGGTAGAGTTGGTATATGCGATCTTAAACCTGTTTTAATAAGGAAAAAGGCATAAAATAAACTTATAAGATTTATAGGGAATTTTTTTGGATTCTAAATTGAAGTCATTTTTTGTTCAGTTATAGCCATAATAATCTGATTTAAGTGTTTGTTCTTTACTGAGTTAAACTTGGAGGATATGGACTTCGCCGATGATGATGATATATGTCTGATTTACCACAAACACTGGAAGATATGCAAGTGAAAAGCAACAAGTTGGCAAAAGAAGCATCCAGAGGAGATAGGAAGGACTTCAGGTGGACATAGGGAAAACAGAGGTAGGTGATGAAGATTCCTGGCCAACAGCAACATCCACAGCAACAACAACAGATAACAATCTGCATAAATGGGAGAAATATGAAAGAAGCAACCTCCTCTACCTACCTGGGAAGCATCGTTTCAAATACAGGCAGACGGAACTGATGAGGATATCAAGGCAAGAATCGGAAAAGCAAGACAAGCTTTCATTACTCTCAAGTCTTTGTGGAGGTCAACAGCACTCAGCATCAAAAATAACATCCGGATTTTCAACTCCAATGTGAAGTCAGCGCTACTTACCATACGGATCAGAGACTTGCACTGCGCGTCATAAAGAGCATCTCAAACAAACTACAGACCTTCATAAACAGTTGTCTTCGCTCAATACTCAAGATAAGATGGCCGACCAGAAAAGATCAGCAACAGGGAGGGATCTCTGGCAATCAACGAACCAACCAAACAGGAACCGATTGTGCAACAAATATGCAGGAAGAAATGGAAGTGGATTTGCTGGCCATACTCTGAGAAAACAAACCATCAACTGAGTGACACCACACGCCAATCCATCGGTCAAGTGGAACCCGAATGAGAAGTAGAGAGTTGGTCGTCAGTGCGAGGGTGACATAGAGTGGAGGAGGTGATGTGAAGAGGAGATGAAAGCATATGGGCAGACATGGAGCCAGGTGAAAACGTTGGCAGAAAACCGAACGCAATGGAAACGTGCGGCTGAAGCTCCATGTTCCTCTAGGAACTAAAAGAAATAATGAAAATAATAATCTTTACTAAGTATTGTAAATGATCTAAAGTGAAACACAGAAGAATCCAGCATTACGTGAGTAGTTACATTTTTGAAAATTCCCATTTTACAACACACTGAGGAGGGAAATATATTCCTTTTCAATTATTTCTTCATCATAGACTCTATACTACTATTTAATATTTTACATCTGAACACCTTCCATCTTACTTTGGCACAGATTCGAATAAAGATACACGCAGCTCAATACTAGCTCATCTCACCGATACTGGACATCAGGTTGACTCTAACAAAGATTCAAAATTATTTATCGTATTTTACCCAACATTTCACATACTCGACAACTACAACTTATACATACAGAAAGAGGCAATCGGAATTCATCTGAACTAGACAAATCGGCGTGTTGGATGGAGGATATCATCATGAGCTGACATCAGTTAGAGGATCACTGGAAAACTACCCGGGAGTACTGGACAGATGTTTCGTTTGCCTAGTTTGGGACTCTTCAGCAGTACGCACCCACCCCACTGGGGTTCGAGCCCAGGACCTTCTGGTTACAAGGCTAGCAAGCTCGTATAGCATTAAGCCACTCACTGGGACTCACTTGATCCAATGGCCACCCAGCCCATGAATTCTAACTTCTGCCAATTCACGACATAGCGTGACCATTATGCAACGTCTTCTTCTATGAGTTACTGCCTCATCTTCAACCTGCTGTACTCCTCCTGGTCACGGGTGTGTGTGCTGATGAAGAGTCCCAAACTAAGCTGTCCAGTGCTCCCTGCAGGTTTTCTAATGGTTCTCTAACTAATGTCAGCTCATGATGGAAATCCTGTAACCAATCAAATCCCTTCAAACCAACACTTGAATAACCGGTCTTGATTTCCGTAGTCATTTTCGCCTCTCTCCCCCTTCAAAAGTCAGATGTCTTGTTGCTAACATCTATTTGCATTTTCACTCCCTTTACGTAAAAATAATAGTTCTTGTGGACTAAAATAACCATATAATTGGTACAATTTTGAAGTAAAAATAAAAAACGCTGCATTAATGTAGGGTGAATGGTGAGGCACTAATTGGAAAGAAAATATAATTTCTTTACCCAATTTGGTGTTTAATACGTTTTTGCATTTATCAACCAGGTTTGAATGGAAATTTTTTTCATGACTTCTCTTTTTGTTTTTATTCCATTACGTTTCCAGTGGAACATAGGGCGCCTTCAAGCTAGAGGCTTGAAGTTTCGGTAGCAGTGGTGTTTATTTTTACGGAATGGGGTTGTTAGTCTCATGCCCAACCTTTCCTCCTTATCAGTCTTATTACTGGTTTGGCAAGGTAAAGGAGGAATGCCTTGTCGAGCGGGGATCGAATCTCGAACCAGATGAAGCGTGGTTGGCGAGTATTCTACCGCTGTGCCACCGACGCACACGACTTGCCTTACCTAGTCTATTCAGTCTATACCACTGCGGGTAGCAGTTATGATGGGGGTTGTCCAGTAACAAGGTTGTCTGTCTGTCAGATAGTGAATTTAGTCAATATATTACGTTAATATCCAGAAGTATTGCATCCATAAGCCTTAATATAAAAGTTTTATATACATTTTATGTTACTAGTGGCTGCGTAAGTCCTCGATTTTGCATTACACTTGACATAAATCATCTGTGAAATCCAGATTTCCTAGAATCTTCTTATCGGTCCGATGTGTCCCTGTCTTCTCGTTCCACACAGTCTGATGCATAATACAGTTCACCACAATTAGGCATATCATCGGTGTTCCTTTTTCACTTCAAAGGCTACTCTGATTTTTTCTGTTGTAAATCAGTTGACACGTGCCATTGTCATATAGATGTTGTATGAGGTTGACAGAGACTTTGGCAATGAAGTTCATAGTGTTGAATTAGTTTGCAAATGAACTCGTGGTCAACGCTGTCGAAGGCCTTTTAGAATTTGACGGAGTTAAGGTACGGGTTCTACTACCATTCTATGCTTTGTTCGATGGTGATGATGCGTAGAGTCGTTATTATTATTATTATTGTTTCCTTTAATTCCTAGAGGGAATAGGGCTTCAGCCGTGCGTCTCCATTGAGTTTGGTTCTCTGCTAGAGTCTTCATCTGGCTCCAAGTCTGCCCACACGCTTTCATCTCCTCTTCACATGACCTCCTCCAAGTCACCCTCCAACTGACGACCAACTCGCCGCTTCCCTTTCGGGTTCCACTCGAGCAATGGCTTGTCTAGTGATGTCACTTGATGACTTGTTTCCTCAGAGTATGGCCAGCCAATCAATCTCCATTTCTTCCTGCCTATTTGTTTCACAATCGGTTCCTGGTTGGTTCGCATTCAAAGATCCCTGTTGCTGATCTTTTCTGGCCATCTTATCTTGAGTATTGAGCGAAGACAACTGTTAATGAAGGTCTGTAGTTTGTTTGAGATGCTCTTTATGACGCGCAGTGCAAGTCTCTGATCCGTATAGTAAGTAGCACTGACTTCACATTGGAGTTGAAAATCCGGATCTTACTTTTGATGCTGAGTGCTGTTGATCTCCACACAGACTTGAGAGTAGTGAAAGCTTGTCCTGCTTTTCCGATTCTTGCTTTGATAACCTCGTCAGTTCCATCCGCCTGTAGTTGAAACGATGCTTCCCAGGTAGGTGGTAAAGGAGGTTGTTTCTTTCAGGTTCCTCCCATTTAGACAGTTGTTGTTTGATCCAAATATGATTTCCGTTTCCTGAATCCAGCTTGTTCCTGCGGGCTGGGTTCTGCATCCAATGCATTTTTTATTCTCTGCAGGATAACGTGAAAACCAACCAACTGGAAGAAGAAGCCATCAGGGAAGACAGAACTTCAAGTATCAACTTCACTACCAACGGAAAAAATTTGAAAGAGGTCACTTCCTTTATTTATCCAGCCAGGCAGAATTGTCTCAACTACAGGCGAACAGCACAGATGAGGAGTTCAAAACAAGGATCGGTAAGGCAGGTCACACCTTCATCACTCTGAAATCAGTTTGAAAGTCCTCAGCACACAGTCAGCATAAACAACAAAATTCGGATTTTCAACACCAATGTTCAGTCAAGTTAGTCACTTCTCTTATATGGGTCGGAAACCAGCACTCCGACTGTGCCAGCAAAAGCATTTCCAACAGCCTGTTGCAGACTTTTAGCAACAGATGCCACCTTCAATGGCCCCTGACTGAAGATCAGATGGCCGACTGGCTGGCCAGAAAGGATTAGTAACAAGACACTTCGGAGACGAATCAACGAACCAACAATCTATTGTTCAGTCGAACACACATCACTGAGGAGACCGCCGGGTGACATCGTGTACTAGGTCATCGGTCGAGTGGAAGCTGAATGGGAAACCATGAGTTGGGCGTTGGTTCAAGGGCAACATGGAGGATATCTCGTAAAGAGGAGATGACAGACTATGAATAATTATGAGACCACCCAAAGATGAATGGAGAGACCAGAACAGAGTGGAGATGTACCAGTGAAGACGTATATTCCATTCGAAACCCAAGGAAACAATAACATGGTAATATAGTAGCCACCTGAAATGCCTACCTTCTAAACTCAAACTTCTTATCTGAAATGAATTTACACTATTCAACATTAAAATAGAGTGACACGTACACAATATTAAAAATGAATGACAGTTGAGAAGAAGAATAAAGTACAAATCCACCCTCCCACCCCTCCTAGTTGAAAATCTCAACAACAAAAATAATAATAAATAAATACATAAATAAATAAATTCACAATGTTGATACAAGTAGCCATTAGTCTTTCTAACCTACTCACAGAAATGAAAGGCATTCATAGGTATATTTTTTAATTAAAATTCCTTTTCACAACTTCATTAGAAAGTTGTGTTTTTTGTGTGCTTTTTTCATTAATGGATACATAGAAAAGCATCAGATTTAGTGGAGAATGTTTCAACTTTATTCACTGATGGCATGAAGGAAATGAATTTAAGAAATTTTCCATAAACCTTTTTTTTGTATTGCTGATATAACTGAATGTTCCATATTTCGTTTGTTTTTGTTTTTGTTTTGAGGATTTTAATGCGAAGAAAACGCACCTGTCATTAAGTTTCATTCAACGTGAATGTAACACTTTTATTTCTCCCCACGAGTATTTTTGAGGTTAAACATTCTAACCACAATTCATCTTTTACCTATTTAATGCAGATGTCATTAAGAATAAGCATAGATTACTTAAAATTAAAAGATATCTGTTAGAGAACCACTGGAGTACTAACTACCTGGGAGTACTGGACAGCTGCTTCGTCCGTCCTAGTTTGGGACTCTTCATCAGTATACACCCACTGTCAAGGTTCCAACCCGGGACCTTCCAGTTACAAGGCGAGCTCATAGACCACTGAGCCGCTGAGACCCGATCCAATGGCCATGACCAGTAGGGTACAGAAGGTTGAAGATTGGGCAGTAACTCATCGAAGAAGACATTGCGAAATGGTCACGCTATGAAGTGAGTGAATTGGCAGAAGTTACAATTCATGCTCTGGCTGCCTGCTGGATCGGGTGGGTCCCAGTGAGTGGCTTAATGGTCTAAGAGCTAGCTCGTCTTGTAACCATAAGGGGCTGGGTCCAAACCCTGGCAGTGGGTGCGTACTGCTGAAGAGTCCTAAAGCAGGATGGAGGAAACAGCTGTCCAGTACTCCCATATAGTTTTCCAATGGTTTTGTAACTGATGTCAGCTCACGATGAAATCCTCCATCCAATCAAAATAAATCCCTACAAAACCAATACTTGAAAAAGATACCTGGGAAGTTGTTATCACAAGTTAGAGGAATGCGAATTATTAGATTATAATAATAATAAAGATATAGTAGCAAATAGAATATCAACTAAAATTAAGGGAATCTCTACAACAACAAATTGAAGATCATTCGAACCCAGATGGCCAAGTGGGTAAGGACAATGTCTGAACCAAGTAGCTTCTTTTGGACACATAAGTTAGGCTTCTCAATGTGGATCCCAACAGCCAGCCTCAACAATATTTAGTAGACGAACTCTTAAGGCGAAGTTAAGATTTGTTGGTTGGTAGCGGTAAATGACTTTGAAAGCTGCCTCGTTGACATCAATCTTGTGTTCTGTATCCATAATATGAGATAGAATAGCGCTATGTTAATAGATTTTGTTTGTCCTTTACTTAACCAACAACGCAGGGTGATGTTGGGGAATTCGACTAGAAACACGCAAGATTGACATTAACCATGCTTTCAGGGTCATTTACCGCATAACAGCAAATCTCAGTTTCGCCTTAAGAGTTCGACTACTAAATATTGCTGAGGTTGGCTGTTGGGATCCACATTAAGAAGCCTAATTTGTGCGTCCAAAAGAAGTTAGTTCAGACATTGTCCCTACCTTGGTCATCTAGGTTTGAATGGTCCTCAATTTTATTTGATATTCTATTTGCTGTTATATTTTTACTCTTATTATTATTATAATTTAAGCATCTTCAATGAACTGTAACTCCCTTGATGTTACTTTACAAATCGATATTATTTAAAAACACTAATGTTGTTATTGACTACTACTCTAGAATATTCTATGTATATAAACATATGTATATATAATTGTAGAGCCAGAAGAGGAAATTATCGAAAAGGATATTCTCTGCTCAATTATTTAGTGTTTTATAGATGTCTGAATGAATATTTTTGCTATAATGATTAGATTTCCGATAAGCAAAGAAAGACCAGATTTACAGTATAAAATGTGATATCATCATTCTATTTCACAGGTTCCCCTCATCAGCTAACTGCAAACTACCTGAAATTATAATTGGTTACAAATAATAACGCTTCATACTTCAATATGTGAAAGGTAATAGAGAAAACATTATGAGATAAACGCATCCAGAATATAAATATTACAACTTTTAGTTTAAGTTACCATCAATTTATATGCTGTAAGACTATAAAGAAAGGGTTGGTGACAGGAAACAGAAAAATTTAATAAACAGCGTTAGCTTGTACGTCTGCATAGCAAGCAAATAAAGAAGTTTAAAGTTTATCAAATTGAAAACTTGTTTAGTGAGCTGAGCTCACTAATGTGTATCACTAATCAGTGTAATGAAAATAATATGGTTACCAAGGGAGTGAGAGATTGACTAAACTCCCTTTCTGTATGCACAATAAGTTTGGTCTGAAACGTTTGATTGCAACTGCTTCAGCAAATCGTAGTAGATTCACTGTGCTTTCTATGTTTAATATTTTGAAGGATGTAGAAGTCTCAACAAAATTACTCGTATCCACAAGGTGTCTGGTAACTGCACTTTGTTAATGTCTGCTTCCTTTTAAGCATGAGTTTCTTGAAATATGCTCTGAATACCAGGATATAAGTTCTTCTTTCTGTCCTTCCAATTTACTTGCTGCCGCAAGTGCACGAAAATTTATAAATGCAGTTGGAGGTAACATCAGTTTCAGTTGGCTTACAGAGCATCTCTTGCTAACCGTATTACTTTCACTACACTGATTAGTCATACACACTATTGAGATCAGCTCACTAATCAAGTTTTCAGCTTGATCAACTTTAACTTTCTTGAGATGCTATGTTGACATATAAGCTAACATTGTTTATTAGATTTTTCTGTTTTCTGTCTTCTCTCACCTCCCTCCCCATTTTTTCCATAGTTTGACAGCATATAAATTGATGGTGACTTAAACTAAAAATTGTAGTGCTTATATTCCGGATGCGTTCATCTTATAATGTTTTCTCTATTACCTTTCAAACATTGAAGTATGAAATGTTATTATTTATAACCAGTTGTAATTTCAGGTAGTTTGCAGTTAGCTGATGAGAGGAACCTGTGAAATAGAATGATGATATCATATTTTATACTGTAAATCTGGTCTTTCTTTCTCTATCGAAATTTATCAAAGGAATCAAATGTATGAGATTCGATTTCCTCTAGCCAATGCATGGAGTGTACAAGAGAGAATAGATAGATATGCGGGGTTGAATAGTAGCTAAGATTCCTTTTTCACATCTTTCATTACTTTACGTCGCAAGTGGAACAGCCGGGGCTTTAAAGTATCGGTAGTAATGGTGTTATTCTTTTCCTGTGGGATGGATTTACTAGCCTCACTTCCAACATCCCCTCCTTTCCGGCGTTAACAACCGGTTAAGCGAGGTTTAGGAGCTCATTGGCAGGGAACGGAACCCTGAACCACATGCGTGGTTGGCGAGTATTCTGCTGCTGAACTGCCGACTCATGAATGGCTATAAAATCAGTTGAAATAGCCCGAAGTGTTCATTTACTGCATATAATTTTAATCAGTATTATTTTTAGGTAATACTGTTTGTGAGTCGATGGCACAGCGGTAAGATGCTCCCCAACCACGGAGGTGGTTTGCGGTTCGATCTGCTGCCGACAAGGCACTCCTCCTTTACCTCGCTAAGGTAGTAGGAGGACTAGTAAAGAGGGGAAGTTGGGCATGAGGCTAGCCAACCCCATTCCGTAAAGATAAACACCACTGCTACCAAAACTTCAAGCCTCTAGCTTGAAGTCCTGTCTTCCGCTGGGAATGTAAAGGAATTGAAAAAACAAAAAATTTAATACAAAATAATAATTCTTTTCTGAGGTCCAATAAAAATCACTGTCGAATATGGGTATATCAATAAAAAGAAACTCTTCTTCTAGTTACTTCTGAATGTTAACTAACCTTCAAATGCTTTATTAATCGACTGCATTCGTCTACGTTCACGCATATTCGCCGCCTGCCTTTGAAAAGCATGCAAACTTTGACCTTTAAATCGTCCATTTTTTCGTATATGCATAATTTTTATTCGATTCGATCGATACACCAACTTCTTTGATCTTGATGAAGACAGGGATCGTGTTGTTTTCTTTTTGAAGGTACTGCTACTGTTATATGAAGTCGTGGAACAATTTGAAAATGATTCATTGTCAATATCATAGGCGAAATCATCGGAATTTTCATAAGTTGCCTCTTTGCTGAAGAAATTAGCATGGATTTCATCGTCAGTATTGATTGGTGGTATAAATGAGAGGTTATCATGATTATTATTATTATTGTTATTATTATTAGGATATGAAGTACCTCTAATATTAAAAAACGACTCGATAGATGGTGTATGATTGTGAAATTGCTCGAAATCTTTCCAACTGTTCGATTTATGTTCTAATGACCTAGACCATGTTTTGTAAGCCGTGGATGTAAGATCAGAAATCCCAGTGTCCTCGGAATCCGATTGTCTTTCTTGTTGTAAAGAAAGCGATTCTGTCTGATCCAAACTGAAATTTTGTAAAGGTAATGTAGCAGCCATAAGTTCATGTGCAGTAAACTGGATCGGTTGGGTGCTTGTTGTTATCGTTGGATAACAATCATATGTTGACCATATGCTTTGTGGAAGGTGTATTGATTGTTGATTGTATTGATTGGCTGTTTGTTGTGTTGTTGGTGTTTGTGTTTGTGTTTGATATGCCCAGTAATTTGTTGTCGCCGTAGCTGCAGCAGTGGCAGCATTAGTGGTATAATTTTGACGATATTCATCCATTACAGGAGTAAACCAATGCTGAAATGAACTACGTATAATTGAAGCTGGTAAATATTTTGTGTCGAATGTCACTGAAATACAGAAAGATAGAATAGACGGTGAAAGAATTGAGAGAGAATAGGCAAAAATGCAAAAAACGATGATGTTAAATAATTGCAAAACTATTCTCTTTCATATATTTATTTGTTTTTACGAGTTGATCATGGATTGATGTCAGTTAGAGAACCATTGAAAACCACCAGCTGGGAGTACTGCACAGTTGTTTCCTCCGTCCTACTTTGGGAATCATTGCCAGTAAGCACCCACCCCAATGGGGTTCGAACCCAGGACCTTCTGGTTACAAGGAAAGCTAACTCGTATACCATTCAGCAACCACTGGGACCCGACTTCTCAATACCCAGAGCATGAATTCTAACCTCTACCAATTCATTATTTACCGTGACCCCAACTATTGTCGTAAGTGGGACATCCACCCTCACACGTGACATCCGGATGGACCTCACTGGTCTCGACTTCTCACTAGAACTCCAGGGAAACTCCATCCTGTAGCAAGTCAGTCACTAGTGAGCATCAGATTAATTTTCTATAATTTGGTTAGTAAGGGTTAGTTTTGTTTTTACCAGTTGATCACGGATTGATATCATTTAGAGAACCATTGAAAACTAGCACTGGAGTACTGGACAGCCAGCTGTTTCATACTAGTTTTGGGAATCATCCGTAGTAGTACGCACCCACTGCCAGGGTTCCAGCTTACCTTGCAGCCGGAAGGTCATGGGTCCAAACTCTGGTGGTGGGCGCGTACTGCCGATGATTCCTAATCTAGGACGGAGGAAACAGCTGTCCAGTACTCCCAGCTTGTTTTCACTAGCTTACCATTATGGTACACTCAGAATTGTTGTTATCAAATGGTTGAACATGATCGGCAGAAAAACTGACCTGTCCTAGGTTTCGTGCTAGTTGGCACTCAACAGTCAGTCAGCAAGGCGTATCTGAAAACTTGAAGGAACTCATGTCCCTTATGAGATTCTAACCGTATCATCCAGTGCTGCAGTAAGTCAAAGACGTTACCAAACAAACTTGACTGATAGAATTCAGTATGTACCAAAGATAGGACTAGATACATGACACTAGTTGTTGTCTAATCAAAAGTATCGAATACATTCCTACAGAAGGTCAGCCTCGAGCTTGGATAGCTCAGTCATTACATCTCTAACTGCAGCAGAGGATGAAGCGGGTTTCAATTTCAGAAGTAACGTGAGTCCCTTGAAGGTTGCAAATACGCCTTGCTAACTGGTGATTGCCAACAAGCATGAAACCTAGGTCAGTCAGGCAAGGTTTCCTGTCGACTGCCTCCAACCATCTAGTACCAAAAATATTAAGTTGCTTATTAAATATGTCACACAATGAAACAGTATTATTTACTGGAAAAACCTTTTGAAAAAAATTTATTATTCAAAATCCATTTCAGTTATAACTACACAACTTCAAAATTGTTCTCCTTTTTTCCACGTTTTAAGCATAACATCAGTCACCATATGAATAAAAACAAAAATAAAGCTGAGTCGAGCTTTATCTTACCCAACCGCTACCTGCTTAATTCCTTAAATAGATGAAGGTATCCAGATAAAAGTTAAGCTCTTGAAATTTAAACATACCTTAGAGACAGATGTCAAATCAAGCTATAACTCGGATCTTGTACATGAGATACACCTTATATCTTTCGATAAGAAACTGATTTCTAAGTATTATTATTATTTATTATTGTTCCCTTGGGTTCCTGGTGGAAAATAGGGCTTCAACTGCACGTCTCCACTTGCTTCTGTCTTCTGCTGTACTTTTCACCTACATCCATGTTAATCCATACTGTTTCAACTCTTCTTCACACGATCTCCTCCATGTCACCCTTCGACGTCCCACTCGCCGCTTCCTTTTCGGGTTCCACTCGAGCGATGGCCTGACGCGCGATGTCACCCAGCGACCTCCTCAGCTCAGCGAGTGTCCTATCCATCTCCACTTTCTCCTGCATATTTGTTGGGCGATTGGTTCTTGTTTTGTTTGTTCCCATAGTTTCTTGTTGGTTCTTGTGCTTTCCGGTGGCCATCTGATCTTCAGTATAGAACGAAAACAGCTGTTGATAAAGGTCTGCAACAGGCTGTTGGAAATATTCTTTGTGACACACCGGCCAAGTTTCTGATCCGTATAGAAGAACTGACTGACTTGACGTTTGTATTGAAAATCCGAATTTCGTTGTTGATGCTGAGTTGAGTGACGAAGATTTCCAGATTGGTTTCAGGTTGATGAATGTGTTTCTCGCCTTCCCGATTCTCGTCTCGATTTGACATCCTCGTCCGTTCCTCCTGTGGTTGAGACAATGCTCCCTAGATAAGTGAATGAAGTAACCTCTTTCAAATCCCTCCCGTTGATGGTGATTGGCGCTGGATGTTGCTGTTGTTGTTGTTGTTGTTGCATGGTTGGTTATTTTCATAAGCTCCGTCTTGTCTATGTTCACTTGGAGTCCTGTCTTTGCTGCTTCTTCGACTAGTTTGTCGGTTTTCGCTTGTAAGTCTTCGATTTTGTGATTTCTAAGTATGCGCAACTTATTTATCGTAATTTGTTTTTTATAAATGAGGTTTTTTATACCATTTCAGATTGACAATGAAAAATAATGATAGTGTTACTAACTGACTGTGACTTATTGGGTGAGTGTTATATACTCGTCACGAGATCAGGGTGTATTTAACTTGATCCTTCAGAAATAATAACAATAATAATAGCCTAATCATGAAGAGTTCTACAGTTAGTGTTGGTTGTGATTGTATATTGTTTGCAAAGGCAAATCTACGTCTGCCTTACTTATTGAAACTGGAGTCCCTCAAGGTGCTGTTCCCTCTCCTCTACGTTTCTCGTCCGGAAGAAATCAACTTCTTTCAGTACGCTGGTGGTGTGACTGTCTCCTTGTCAGTTACATCCCCACCTGACTATCTCAAAATTAATGCCTTTTTCTCGAACACTAGCCAGTGAGTGATCTAAGTTAAATGGTCTTACGTCAAATCCCTCTTAATGTCAGATAGTTAACTTCCCCTTCAGGCATAAAAGTGATCTACAAGAACTAGTTCGTTCGTAAGATACCTGTAGCACAGACGGCGCTGAAATAGAAACGAAGTCAAGCACAGAAGACCTTGTGGGATAGTTCTAACCCACTAACCTTTCTTGGTCATCCCATATCTTGTTGCTTTCTATGAAAATATTGTGTCTAACCTACTAGATTAAGAAATTAAGACAATCAGAAATAACTGAACCAACCCTAGTTTTACAATTTGTTAACTTTTCCATTTTACCTAGTGTACTTTATCGCTTCCCCCCACCCTTCGCTCCGGAGCTACTCAAAAATGACTTTGTCAAATTTTGAAGGGTATTAAAGCTTATCAGTAGGGCAAATAGTGTGCCACTAAGTCAGTTCGCTACTAGAATCGGGAAGACAAGACAAACTCTCACCACTCTGAAACCAGTTAGGACATCAGAATAAATAACAAGCTTCGGATTTTTAACACCAACGCGAAGTCAGCTGTTCTATTGTTGGTATTAGATAGTTGGAGGCAATCGGCAGGAAGCCTTAGACCTAGGTTTCGTGCTAGTTTGCTCTCATCAGCAAGGCGCATCTGCAACCTTGAAGGAACTGATTTCCCTTCTGAGATTCGAACCAGCGTCACGCAGTGCTGCAGTCAGAAACGTTACCACTGAGCTATTCAGGCTCGCGACTGACCTCCTGTAGGACTGTATTGGATATTTTTGATTGCACACTAGTCAGTAACTAGTGTAATGTGTCTAGTCCTATCTTCGGTGCAGACTGAATTCTATCAGTCATGTTTGTGTGCCAACTAGCACGAAACCTAGGTCCAAGGCTTCCTGCCGATTGCCTACAACCATCTAATACCAACAATTTACAGTGCGCCATAATGGTGAGCCACCTAGCATGGTGGCCACATTGCAAACCTGACTGATAGAATTCAGTCTGCACAGAAGGTAGGACTAGACACATTACACTAGTTACTGACTAGTATGCAATCGAAAACAGCTGTTCTATACAGCGTATCACCAAAAACATTTCCAAAGGCCTGCGACAGACTTTTATCAACAGCTGCCACCTTCTCTGTCTAAACACACTGAAGATCAGATGGCTGACCAACTGCCAAACGACATCTCACTCCGTGTCATCGGTCTAGCTGGACACGAATAGGAAACGACGAGTTGAGCGTAAGTCTAAGAGTGACATGGAGGAGATCGTGTGGCGAGGAGGAGATGCAAGACTATGGACACTCGTGAGACCAGCTGAAGAGGACCTTAGAGAGCAGGACAAAGTGGAAATGTTCTGTTGAAGCCGTGTGTTCCACTCGGAACCCAAAGGAATAGTAATAATTGACTGATGACCTCACTTCAGTAAAATAACCGACAGGATATCATTAGACCGGGAAAAAAACAAACACAAACACGAAATTCAACCCATTTTTTATCGAGTTTAGACTAGGTCAGGTGTCATAAAGCCCTCATAAATGTACACTTCACAGTGAATTGCCTAATTTAAATGATAAATTTTTATTTTTACATAACAAAATGTGTATAAAGTAAATGTCATAAATGGCACCTATCTATCTATCTATCTATCTCATGAGAGAATTCCTGTTGTGAATAACCTTCAGTACAAGAGAGAAATTATTATTATTATTGTTGTTGTTTAAATCATACTTCAATGCTTCTTCTCAAATTAATGCTTTACTTAATCCTCTTCTATCAATGAAAAGCATATCAATGCTTCGATAATGATAGTAAAATAACCTGAAGGCGTAAGGTGACAACCAGCATTTAAAAAAAAAAACAGAATATCAGCATCCATTCTTATGCATAACGGTGTTTTCCCAATTCCTTACCATACTCCTTTGTCTTATATTTCATCTCTTGTCTCTCATCTCATCCTCTCATCTCTTTCTCTAAAAGTATTCTAT